GAGAGAGAGAGAGAGAGAGAGATAGAGTTTGCTGTGGGCATTCTTGTAATTATAATTTTTACTTCTCCTAAAACTGCCACAGAGATACTACTCACTCTGATGGGGAGGTACTCGTTGGCCGGGCTGTCAAAGTTTCGGTCCACACTCTTGAACTCGAGCGGGTACATCTGAGCAATGACTTTGAGCAGATTCCTCAGCAATTGTCCAGCCAGCTCATAGCCTTGCACACACTTGAGGCGGAGTGTGTTCCGGATCACACCCATGAGCTCAGATTTGTACTCCAGCAGCTTGGAACCATCACAACGGACAGCCTGTCACAGATGTCAACAGAGAAAGTAAAGGCCAACACCTAGATGAAAATCTCCCCAATCAAAACTCGTGTTGTGAGCTTGAGAAAGAAGTTTTTACCTGTCTTATGATTAACCGTATGCAAAGACCCTGACACTCACACAATTCACTCTCTTTCCTCTTTCTGTGCCTCTGCCCTGTGTATCCTCCCCAATATCCTTGCTCAAGATAGCAAAATACTTTCTGCACCTTCCAACAGGCTTTCTCAGAGCCACACATATATGTTATGACTCGAGACAAATCTGCCATAACAAAAATACAAAAACACTATAAACCACTTGCTACATCACCTATCCATCCATATCCTATGCCAACACTATGACCAAAGAAAAAAGTCTGTGATATCAAAATAGTGTTCAATGTGTCATCACTTACATGGGATAACATGAGCAAGTCCCACAGGAACGGGTCGTCCAAATGCTCCTCCTCATATGCACCTGGATCTGGGAACACAACAAACAATAAATAATGTTGTTAACTGACACTGAAACAACAGACTACACAAAAAACTATTTTTCTAACACAATTTTGGAATCAGATGAAAGTGCACAGCGAATTGACATTCACAGAGTGACACAAATTCTTAAAACATGAACCAATTACAAAAGCCATACTGATCATATTAATAACACCACATCCACAGCAAAATATCTTCAAATCACATCATCATCCAGTGTATTGTAATCTTTCCTTTCAATCAAAATTTTAAAATGCAAGTTTTGTAGATGTTCCTCATTATTCTTTCATCAAAGAAATTCCCATTCATTACTCCTGTCTTCCCAAGATTTCTTTTGACCATGATCTCACCACAGTTATTGCTAATAGGCTTTCAAGTCAAGAATACCAAGGTGAAAAACTTTCACTCTAGATGCTCATCATTCCCAGGTGTTAATCCAATATGAACTTACGATCATTCAGAAATCCTTGGATGTTGGCACAAAAGTGGGGGATAAACATCTTGAGGGCAACTTCTGGTTTGATCTGAAATTTGAATAAAAAAGTCAGCAACAGGTCTCTACACAATCTATGAATCATTTTCCTTTGGTCAAAAAAACAAATTACAATGAAATATGACCAACATAGAATGTCCACAAAAAAAGAACAGTTCTGAAATGACATCATTTTTGGAACAAACATTTATAAAGTTTATAGATGTTGACAATTCGTACACAACTCAATATCAAAATCCCTCCCCATTTTCTGTACAAGACAAATTCAAATATCTACTTCAACCTGCATCTTTAGTAAGACTACACATTTCAGCTTATTAGACACCAAATTTAAGCAGAAATTTGTGTTGCTAGTGTAGTCTAAGTTGAACATTTTTTAAAACTGTTTTTGTGATTAACAGTACAGCACAAACAGTAGTAAGTGTTTATTTGGACCTTTCAGTCATATATAAGGGTAAACTATTAATTTAATGTAAAATTTCGCCATTTTAGAATTGTAGTATTGTTCAGTTCTTCATATGAAAAATCTCAGACTGTCTCCTTGGAAAAGGTGAATCATGACTATAAAAAGTAACAACATACAATACAGTCTGTCGTGTACAAAACTAACCTTATCAAAACCTTGTGTTGATTAAAGCTAACACATCACAAGTCACTTATCAGATGGTATCCGTTTGATAAGACTGGGCAAGGGGAAATTTACTTTTTTTAAAGTATTGTTTAAATCATTCACTTCAGCCACAAGCCAAAGGTACCCAAGCTTCTGTCAGATCTTGTAAAAAGTAAAGTTGTTCCCGCATCCGATCCGGACATTGGGGATTGCCTTGTTGGTGAGAAACTTCCTGGGCTTTCGGCATATTGTGGTAGGGTGGCCACTTCCTTTCCACACCGCCTTCACTTCACCAACTGGAAGTCAGGTACCCATTAAAACTGGGTGGGCAGGAGGGGGCGAAAAAAATGCATGTCCGAACCGAGGCTCAAACCTGTACTTTCCGCTTAGGACACAAGCGCACTAACCGCTCTGCCACCGCACCCTCGTCTGATCTTGTACTGACAGCAAATGGTAGCAACCCATGAGAAAACTAATGCCCAAGCCTAAAAGTAATAACATTGAAATTACATACATTTCGTAATTGCAGCTCCCCAATTGTACTAACCTTTAGCTTTTATTTTACAAAATAAGTTAGAACTTCATTCTGAAGACCTCCAGACACCTCTTGTACCTTTTCTACCTCCCTTTCTTCATAGCCCAGTTCATCAATGTGAGGAAAAACTACCAGCCACTGAGTTTATATCTGTTTTGACTTATAGACAAAACACTTGTTTTGTTTGTTTAGTATAGGGTTTTACGGCGCTCGCAACTGCATAAGGTCATATGAGCGCGCGGGACACACCTAATACTTTTTCGTTGGTAGGAAATTTTGAATTTTGCCCGGGTGGCGGCCGAAGCCTACTCTTATCGATTTTAGACCACCAAGGGATCTTTAACGTGCGCAACTTGCACACGGGCCCTCCGAGATTCTTCGCCCTTGTCCGAGAAGGCTAGGTGTAGATCTTTCCTACCAGAAGATCAGGGGTGTGGCAGAAAGACAGCAGTTAGGAGGAGCCAAGGAGTAGCAGTAGAAAGGCTGCAGAAAGAGTCAGGAGCCCAGAGGAGGGGGCAAAGGAGGTGAGGGCAGAAAGTGGAAATGAAAGCAGACAACAGAACATTGCTAGAGATCAGGAAAGGATGTGAAAGGAGACAATTTTAGAGAAGAAAATTTTTTGTTCGCTACCCGGAATCGAACCCTTAACCTCTAGGCCACGAGAGCCCCCAGACAAAACACTGTTCAGCATGTGAGTGGTTGGAGGGTATTGCTCGAGGGTTTTTCTTTTCTTTCCTTCCGAGATCCCTATCAGTCTTACTTTACATCTGCACTAAATGACCACTACTGTGTCAATGAGCTTCTCTTCACCCAAAGCTATAACCCAGATATGCCAACCACAGAAAACCGAAATGAGTATTGGGAAATATGAAAATGTGTATTTTCAGGGGAAAATGTGTATTCCCCACGACCGACCAACTAGTAATAGTAAAATTTACTAGCTCACCAGCTCGAAAAAGGGAGCACACACGCGTACAATATACATGTATCCAGTCAACAACATGTCAGTGTTCAATGTCGTACAGGGGTCTTGTTTGACTTAAGTATTTCAATCTATTATATATTTTCCTCTCATTATTATATAAAAAATAAATCCTGCTTTGAGAGTGAAGGGCCTAGAACAAGAATTTCGACTATCAAGAACCAGTCTGGGTGTCATGATTCATATTATGAACTGACAGACTCAAATTATTGCTCAAACTCAGAGAAGAGCAATAACTTGAAAGGCTCAAGTAGACCCGTGCACTGTGAGAGTTGTAACAACTGTGGGAGGGCAAGATGCAGTGACACTGAAAATCTGCCATTACTGAACAGAAAGCTACAACATACACCGAAGGTATAACTTACTATCACCCATCCAAGCAGATGTAGGTATAATTTATTATCACCCATCCAAGTAGGTATAATTACTTTCACCCATCCAATGAAACGCGAACACTTTATTTCAATAACACAGACTTGCAAAGTATGAGGGGTCCCGATTCCGCACACAGCCTGCACCAACGCGCGCTTAGCAGAAAGCTCTAATCAAAGTTCTGAAATGCGCTTCCAAGTTTTTGTCCTCTGGTGTTGCCTTAACCCCCCCCCCCCCCCCCTGATAGTATCTTAAACCCCAAAAAATCAATAATCTCCTCCCCTATTCCGTAGTCATATACTTCGCAACGCCGTTACTCCCACCAAAGATGGTCTTTACTCACACGATGCCGTATTTATTTATGACGCGAATGCGCACAGGTTCAGTGACCGGTCACGATGGCGAGCCAGACAATCTAAAAATCGGACGACGCTTGTATTTTCTTTTCTTTTTTTTTTTTCACAAGCGACAGCCAAAGCGACGAGTCCGAGTGTTTATTACATTTTATTTGCACGGCGACATTGCGTTTATACTGCACAACCTGCATGCCACAAATGTTGCGTTATCAGACAACTGCTGGCAAACTTCTTGGTGGTAGCGAAAGCGAAAGTAGATCTTGATTTTCCCGATCGAGCCTCGGTGTCACATACGCTTGCCACCATAGCTGCCTATACGCGTGAAAGTGAAACGTACTCTCCGGACGGGGAAAAGCTGAACGAATATAATATAGCAATGACAATGAAAAATTAAATTTTCATCCGATTTGCTTAAAAAATGGGCTTAAATGAAACTAGAGTAAATTCTAAGAACTGTGGTTTTTAAATTTTAAAAATCCATTGATAAATTAAAAAGTTATTGGGATTTTTGTTTGCAAAATGTTGGAGGACCGTCATATAGGAAAAAATCGCCAAAATGTGGGACATGTTTTGATGTATTTTGAGGAAAAACTGTTCATAAGTAAGTAATGAATTGGTGCATATGAATGAAACTTGGCATCTCCATGTGATTTTTTGTGCCAAATCTAGTTCTGCTATCACTTTTTCGTTGTCTTCATTACTTTGGATCTTAAAGACTGATATTTGCGTGAAATTTGTTGAATTGCGTGACATCGTTTTTACCGCGACGCGATCACCCCTTCTAAAACTCAGTAAAGCGCTATCGGGAAAACCCGCGATGTAGTCATCGGTGACCTATTTGGTTATAGGCAGCCAATCACATGCCGCCTAGCGATCACGCGCCTCTTGCATGCCGGCACCTCGCGTTTGGAATGCGCGATTAAGTTTCTAGATCTAGTGTTTTATCAATGGGTGGGTGGTAATTTTAAGTTGGTACGGAAAATCTACTAAACGCAGAGATCTGAAATTTTACAGCAATAAAGAAGACATGTGGGGCGCTTGTGTGGTCGGCGATCAACCCGCAGCTCCGCTTAGTTTTCGAACCGCAGAGGAAATTCTCACAAACACGGCAATATCTCCGGTTCTAGTAATCGTTCGGGATTGTACGCTGGCATGTCGTTAGTTTAACCTTTCCTCTGGTTGGTTGCCGAGTTTCATTTATTTTCGTCCAGGAGTTTTCCCGTAACTAAACTTAGAAGAGATTCACTTCTGATTCCGAGCGGCCCAAAAAATACCCCTCGCGCGGAGGCCGATTTCCGGCACAAGGCGCAGCGGGCGATTGGCATTGCTATATAATATCACGATCACGACCGGCAAAAATGAACTTACTGACCTTATCGGACTTGGTTTTCATATACAGTATTCCAGTTCTGCCATACTGATACTATTTTAAAAGATGGGACTTGAGATAATTAGGTTTACTCGCCCAAGCTGAATCTCATATTTTTCGCATTCCAGGAAGCGTATTTTTTCATGAAAAGTCGTATTCGCGTATTTTCGGCCAAAAACCGTACTAAAATACGTAAAATCGTACTGATTGGCATCTCTGTATAACCCTTTGAGTTTTCAGTCTGCCAAGAGATGGTAACTTACCCTAATTACTGATCTGCAGAGATTCGCAGCCAGTTTTCCGCTGACCTTCACCTCAAACACATTGGTTGTGATAAATCTGTGGATCTTTTTCAGAGCACTCTGAAAAGAAAAGTTAAATTACAGTTACTAGAAATCATATTTATCAAAGACAATCTAAAAAGTCATAAGCACATAGTGGACATTCCACACTTCGATATGATTGAAATACAAGACGTGTGACTAGGATGAAGAATTAAAAAAGGAGTAAAAATATTACATTTCAACATACAACAAATTAATCCATAATGCACGGCAACATATCTACTGCCCTAAGAGGGAAAATGCTCGAATGTGAGGAACAAAAAGTCAACATACACATAAATGTGTCCCTGCCGGTCAATATCAGTCATATGAAGGAAATTTCAAAACTGAGTTAACATTATTTTCAAAAACTGTCACCTTTTCCCTACAATTTAAAACAAGAATGAAGTAAATGTGACCATATTTGACGAAAATACAGAACTTTTAATTGTGCGAGGTGAGGAAACCCGAAAAGGAGAAAAAACAATTTCATGGAAAGTCACTTTTTTGTCTTTCGAGCCTCGTGGCTCATAGCAGAACAGTGCGTCTTACGACTGATATTGAGTAGGGCAGACAGAAATATGGATTACACAGTTTACAAATGTTTAACTTTCAACCAACAAAATTTTGATCATTTAGGAGATGGGTTGCTTTTACCCTGCCTGTCAGAACTAACTTGAGTGGTTGTTTAGGACTTCTATCTGCATGTGTGGTGGGGTCGTAATGGTCATGCTATTTGCTATGTATACACAAGACATGCGTTCAGTTCCAACGAGGGGGAAGCAAGTTTAATGAGTTTGGTTTTTGCTCTGTTGGAATGTACCAACAGCTCAGGTTGGTTTTAACAGGCAGAGTAGAAGCAGCCCATCTACTAAATGATCAAAATTTTGTTGGTTAAAAGTCAGAGAAAAGGAAAAGAGGAAAGAAGACACTAGACAAAGACTCATCGTGTACCATGTAGATTGGAGTGGAGCACTGCTGCAACATGGCAGACACCGTGGACGCCAGGCCCATCTCCATCACCGACTGCTCCATAGTGACACGCTCCAAGGCACCAAAACTTGCCTCTTGGCGGCTGTTCTCTATCAGGCTGTGTACCCTACACGAAAGAAAACAACACACTGTCAATAATCTGTAATGTTTTAGTTAGACTTTTACGGTCTCATGGTCGAGAGGTTAAGGTGTTCCCCTCTCATTCAATTGGTCCCGGGTTCGCATCTGGAGAGCAGTGGAAATTTTCTTCTCTAAAATGCTCTCCTTTCACCTCCTTTCCTGCTCTCTAACAATGTTCTGTCATCAGCTTTCATCTTCACTTTCTACTAGAGCTGTGCCCATTCCACTTTACTATTCCACATTCATGATTTTTGCACTATTCACAGCTATTCAAAGCGTGGCAGAGCCACTCGAATGCCGTGTGATTTTTTTTTTTACAGATAGATCTAATGGATTTTCGTCACTGGACTATCACAATATAACAAAAAACTATCCGACGGCGCTGTGAATAGCAGAAGTTAGATCTGGGCTTATCATATATAAGAAAATACGATTCGACGTCGCTTCGAATTGCGGAAGTTAGATCTGGGCTTATCTTATATATAAAAAAAAACTATTCAACGGCGCTGTGAATAGCAGAAGTTAGATCTGGGCTTATCATATATAAGAAAATACGATTCGACGGAGCTTCGAATTGCGGAAGTTAGATCTGGGCTTATCTTACATAAGAAAAAACTATTTGACGGCGCTGTGAATGGCTGAAGTTAGGTCTGGGCTTGTCACACATAAGAAAATACGATTCGACGGTGCTTCGAATTGCGGAAGTTAGATCTTATATGAGAAAAAACTATTCTACAGCGCTGTGAATAGCGGAAGTTAGATCTAGGATTATCACATATAAGAAAAAAACATTCGACGGCGCTGAGAGTAGCTAGCAAATGTAGAATAGCAGAACTTAGTTCTGGGTTTATGCCTGTCAAATTTTTTTTTTTTAAACATTCGACGGAGGTATTCGAAAATCATGAATAGTGAGCTCATGCTTCGAAGCTTCTATGATTTTTTGTTTCCTCAAAAACCAACAGCACTACTTTCTACCCTCACCCTCACCTCCTTTGCCCCCTCCTTTGGGCTCCAAACTCTTTCTGCAGCCTTTCTACTGCTACTCCTTGGCTCCTTATTGCTGTGTTTCAGCCACATTCCTGATCTTATGGTAGGTAAGATCCAACACCTAGCCTTCTCAGAAAAGGGCCAAAAAACCTCGCAAGTTGCACACATTAAAAGATCCCTTAGTGGTCCAAAATCAATAAGAGTTGGCTTCGTCTGCCACCAGGCAAAATTCAAAATTTCTTACCAACTGAACAATGTTTAATGTGTCCTGTGCACTCCTATGACCTTATGCCATTGCGAGCACTGTAAAACACTTACAAAAAAAAAAAGACGTTTACGAAACTTGCAACACAATTAGGTCATGTAAGTACCAAAGATTAGACGCGTTACAAGAGAGTAGCAAACAAAAAAAAAGGAGGAAAGGTAAGGACGACAGATGTTTAATAGGATAGAAAGAGCAAACCACACAAGAGCATCTTCCAACCTCCCAAAGTCAGTTAATCTCAGTCATAGTCTATATAAGGAATTGGTATTGAAACATCCATATTCTCTGACAGTTGTTATGCCAAGTATGACTGAATATACCTATATAGATGAGTGCATGCATGCACATATAGTAGTATGCTAGTGCACCCAACCCAAAAGCATCAAACATCTGAAGACATCCCCGCTGATATATTATAATAATAATAATAAATAGTATTTGTATAGCACATAACCCCTGCTCCAACAGCAAGCTCTATGTCCTTTACACTATATTATTACCTCAACAGACCCTAGAACATTCAGAAACATTCTCGGCTTCCCGGAAAGCATACATCAAGAACATATTCTCAAGGCAGGAGTCATAGACCACATATGCCTGTATATAATGAATTCACTATTGAAATAACTGAAAAAGAAATATCCCAATCGCAAGAAAAATGGGTGGCGAGGCTCTTAATATTTTTTGTCAGAGTTGCAAAGCAACAATACAAAAAATGCAAAGACACACTAGAAGCAAGGACAATAAATCAAAAACAAAAGAACAGAAGATGAGAACAACATTGCCCTTTTATTGATGGCACTCATGACCAGTAACACATTGAGAAGCACTATATCTATGAAATTCCATATTATATGACAGCATGAAGATTATTCCAATCATCTTCCAATTAACACTTTCAGTAACTCACTTGAGCCTAAACTATTTTTCACCCAACAACCATTGCAGCCAGACACTTTTGGGGTATAAACCACAAAAAGACTGAACGCTATCATAATATTTTATTTTTTTTAAAATACAAGAGAAAGAAATAAATGCTCTCACAGAAAAAGAAAACTGCATCTAATTTGTCCCAATAGTTTTTATTTTATCAATATTTTGAAATGGCAATGTCTGGGGGTTACCTAATTTTTTTTTAAGCCCAATTTGTAATAGTTCGTTATAGCTAGAAAAAGTATCGCACATAACTTCACCAAATTTTTAACAAAATGAAAGAAGTGGGTCAACTGTTGGCCCGCCGCTACCTGTAGCTTTTACCAAAAAATACCGGGGGTATCATTCGATAAAGCACATCCCGTAAATACACGAGACAAGGCCACTGGGCTGGCGGGGCGTCCCGTAAATACACGGGAATAAGTTAAACCAAACCACTCATCTAGTCCTTGATCAAAACTGCACCTCCCCTCGACATCTAACAATACAACAGGACAGATAAAGTAACGTCAGATAAAGTATTAATCGTGAAGTAAAGGAGTAAATGTTTATGCCTCCTTTCAATAATATATGAACTTTTCTTACCTGTCTAGAAAACAGAGGACAAAGTCCTCAAACTGAGCAGTTGCTGAGCATAGATCTTTCTCATGCTGTAAACAAAGAAACAGAATCAATATTTAAACACAAATTTTATTTGCTTATCGTTGTGAGAAGCAGGCACACTGGGGACTTCTTGAGCCTTTGGATGTTCAAAATATAAACCTGAAGTACTAAAGAGTTTCAATACAAGTTATTAATCAATAATTTATGTTTATCCTGCATGTTTCAACCAGCTGCAAAGTGATATCCTCTTAGTCATTGTGACAATGATAATTTCACCACAATAAGAACGGGCTCAACATTAACACTTTTCTAGACATCTCATAAAAGCTAATACATGAAGATACCTCTTAACACAGTCTGGTGTGAGGAGGCTTTGTATAAGTGTCAAGACACTGTGGAATCAGGCTCTAGTCAATTTTTGGGAGTACGGAGTTATTGGTATCATCTTAAAGCTTTTTTATTTGATTTGCTTTCGATGAAAAAATATTCACCATTTCAGAAGTAAAGTTGGCCAGAAAATGCCTGCCAAAGTTTGGTGACTTCCAGAGCTTGAGAGTCCTTGGAAAACTGAAAATTTACTTTTGTTGTGCCTTAAGTCAACCTTTTGCTGTAAAGTACACATATAAATGTGTCTTTAAATTGACATAAAAGGTGGTGAGCTAAAAAACAATTTGATTAAAAATTGATAAGAGGGCAAAAAAATGCAGATTTCTTCTATTTCATTATTTTGACAAGCACCTGATTCCACCACAATGCCTCACCGTTATTTGAGACTATCTGGTTACCAAAACGTAGTGTCTCAGGCATCATGTGTCGATGGGAAATGCATATATATTCAGCATCACAAGGACCTTACTTTGACTGAGTGTGACAAACATTTATGACAAAAGCTGGAGAAGCGTTAATATCATGATGGATATCACTTAAGAACTATGCCTCACATGCCACACATGAAAAAAATACCTCGGTCAAGTCTTGCAGTGTGTGAACAGCATCAGAGGAATCCACTATGGGGACCAAAGAGACAAATGTAGAGACCATCTGCAGTGTCACCTGCAAAAAAAATAATAGTTTATAAAAGTGTTTACTTCCATATATTATTAACAAACCTACGTTTTCTCACACGAAAACACACACACATACACACGCACACACACTATTATCATAAGCAATTGTAAACGTGAATTTCCTCATGAACATATATCTTGATCGGGGTTCGGATGCATACGAGTGCTGCACTGATATAAAGAACATTTTAACAGCACCTTTTTTTTAAAAATTGTCTTATCTTAATCAATTAAAATTTCAGGTATAAAACTTCATGCACGGCGTCACTTTTCCCCCGATTCTGTTACTTTTAGTTAGCGTGACTCAGCTGCCCCCCAGAGCTCCCCGGCTCGGGGTCACGGGGTCAATGAGCCCTGAAGCGACTTTGCTGATGTCTGTTAGGAAGTTCGCATTTTTGACTATGTCTAAAACGATATAACTTCTTCCTCATCCCACATAGCAAACCATTACGGGGATGTACTAAAAGCTCAATGTCTTGAGATTTATTCTGCTTTAGAATGGTTAATTTCTTTGCCTTAGTTTTTGTTCTAGTCAAGTGTTTATAGAGTACCCAATTTGTCCTATTTTAGTTACAAACTTATGAATAAATGATTGTTAATTTTAAAAAGGCACGACAGATCTCTCCAAAATCTCAGTTAAACTGACTACGAATATCATGTCTTTTACCATGAGAAATCTTAAATCTGCACGAGTAGAAATAGTCAAGTTATAAGAGAAGAAAGATGCACATCTGCATTTCTTAACTAAAGATGATCAGCGTTAGCTCTTATTTTACTATAAAACAAGAGAAAGTTACTCTGCGTTTGTTCATGAATCATGCTGTGTCTGTGGCAGCCTGCATACAACTAAAAACATATAATATAGAATCTAAGCGATTAAAAAACCCACAAACCCATGTAAATACATTGGTAGAGATAAACTTCTTGTATGGAATAGAAATAATGACAGCTAACACATTCATTCTTAGTTTTTTGTGTCGGAAATATGCGCGGACACAATTATGAATGTAAAGAAATCAGTCACATTGTCAGTTATTGCAAATGGTCATAGAAACGAAAAATAAAGCTGGAAAAGTCTGGTGCTGATTCAGTGTCCCTAGAAAGCTAGAAATTATTCTTATAACCCAATTACGAGAAGTCATCCCTATTATTCAGTCAACTTACAAAACCTGGACTTAGCGTTTTAAGAAAAGTAAGGAATTTCTGGAGTGTAACAGATACTGTTCGTGTATTAGATCTACATTGAAGATGTATTCTAGCACTAAAGTCGATTTGTACTTTTCATAGAGAAACTTCATGGTAATTTTTATCAACTTTCGAGAAAATATGCGAATATTCACGATTATATCAGACACATAAAGTTGTATTTGGAGGAATTACTTCATAGCGAATTGTGTGCCCGATGGATAAAGTTGCAAAATTACAGCTTTCTATTATATGCGCAGATACCATCTTTTCTGGGTATCTGCACCAATGCTATGTCGTTCATATTCCAAAAGTTCGACAGATTTTGACGAGGCCTTTTTTTAAATTCACGTTAGTCCAAAAAAAATTACAATTTAGCATTGCCGGCTCCAGCGCGTATAACGAAATAACCAGACAAGTTACAACGTCCGTTCTTTTTTGAGTCTCAAGAGCAGAAATGCATGCTTTGGGTGCACTAAATGAGAATTACCATAAATACAAGGATACACCTTAAATTGTACGTTGAAAAGTACCAAAAATTAAGTCGGCCCAGACAGAGCGGCGACAGCGAGCTGACCCCCATGACCCCGACGAGATAAGGCGCCCGGCGTGGAACCCCCGCAACAACTAAAATTCCACTGCCGTTGCGCCGTGCATGAAAAATCAGTATCATCTATTTTGAGAAGCATTACACAGTTCCTGAACGTATTGATATTTTACAATTTAATTTTATCTCCTCACCCATCTTAGCTCGTTTTAAAAACTATTTCCCAATAAACCAAAAGAAAAGAGAACATTTCCCTCCATAAAAACTCCAAAAGAGTTTATACAACTAAAAAAACAAAATCAAAACAGACATCCTTTATACATATTTACAGAATCTTTACAAGCAATGGCACTTTCCTGAAACTGAAAGAAAAATTGCAAAACTCTAGGTAAATGAATAAACACCTAAAAATAGTTAATAAAATGCTGTTCTCTTTTTCTCAATAAAGTTTTGAAAGATTTCCCCTTTTGCAAATGCAGGTTTGATCATGAAGTGGCATTTTACCGTGATTACTCATTCATGCACTTATCTTTGCCTGTCCGCATGAATTGCTAATTGTAACAGTCCAAATGCTTTTCTATTTTTTAGCAATAAATTGCCTCATTCCTTGAAAAAAAAAAAATTAAATAAATAAAACAATTAAAAAGTTCATAAAATGTTAGCATGTCAACAACATACCAAGGTTTTCTTGAAATCATTCGCATCAATTCCAGGTAAGGCCAGGTTGAGCAATGGAAGAACATGAGAGGGGCCCTCTGGGTAGTACTTGGGGGACATCAACATAGGCCTCGCCACAGACACAATGCAAATCATGCAGGCAATCAGACGGTGAGGCTCTATCAGTGTCTCCATCGCTGGATACATCCTACAAGATGAAAAATCAAAATTGTGCTTAATAATTAAAATGATTCAAGCCCTTCAGGTGAACAGGTGGGATGGAGAGAAGCAAACTATACATGAATTCAGCGAAGTAACATAAATTTACTGCACGTTTTGAATAACTTAGCTTAAATACATACATGCAGCAAGAACAATTTCATATCAGTGCCTGAACAAAAATGAAAAACTCCTGTCCTATTTTTAAATGCACTTTTATCAGTAGGATAAAACAATAACTATGTAAAACTGAAAAGTCATAAGGATCTAAAAAAATTAACAAACAAAATAAAATACAATCTCAAAACTTCATTTTCCTTGATAATTCCCCAATATAGCTGAAAGTTTTCTTTCACCATTGTACTTCCTTGTTCAATTAAATATGAGTGAGAATAGTTTTAAACCTCTCTTTTAATATTTTGACAACATAGATTACACTGAATATATAGAGAATATTTATCAGAATCTCTTGCCTGGGTTTTAAGTTTCTCACAGAACACCACATAAAACCGAAGGATATACTTACTTTTCCAACAGAGGAGGAACAACAATCTCAGGACGGAGAGTAGCTAAACTTCGAAGAGCCATGGAAGCATCCTGGCTGCCAAATTTCCCAAACATAGCCACAAACACAGAGGACTTGAGACTTTCAACAAACTCTGTGACTTGTGCATCTGTCAGTTTGTGTGAGTCAGGCACGGGGGTCAACCAGGCTAATTCCTTGTAACGCTCCCTGAGATAAGAAGCCATAGAGATAGAAATCAAAGACAAGGCAAACAGAGGCAGGCTGCAACACTTCTACTTTTTACACTTCATGTGTTAGAACTGTACATATCAAAGACCACGAGAAGTCATTCTGTTACCTCTGAATTACAATAGTATTTTCAATACTGGCTTGTAAAAAAAAAAGTATGGTCACACTTTCTTAAAACTGCAAAAAGACAAATGTCGAACAGCTACAAAATTACAAATAATCAGAACAGATAAAAGAAAAGAACTCGTGAGATTTCAATCCTACATACAAACTAAAAAAAACAATTCTAAAACTCACCTTCTCAAGCGCCTAACAAACATTCTTGGCAGTGTTTGCAAGAATGATCCAAGACGTATCTGTAGACCAAAATAAATGTTTACTACCACTATCGAAAAAAAAATCTCAAATGCTCATGTTCACTTGTACTGTGATATAGTAAGGGCCGGATGAGCCTTTTGCTAATTTCAATGATCAATAAACAGTATACACCAGACAAAATGAAAAATCGGTCAAATAATTCTAAAAAACTCATCACATGTTATTTTCTTAGGAAAGGTATGTCATTCACTATTCACTTAAACCAAAAACTATTTTCTCCTGCCAATGTAAAAAAACAATGGCAGATGACAATCTTTCCCCTAGAAAACCACTGCATATGACAAATGAGACATTCTGCCAATGGACCCATAATATTGTTTTACACAGTCAATGTCTTGGAGCTTCGTCCATTCATTCAAATGATGTAAGCCAATTTGTCAAATGTGTTAAAGATATTCAACATTACGATGATGTGAGTGAATACACCCCTAAAAACGTTCAGATCCATCAAACCATGCAAGATACAGAAACTTCCTACTCCCGTGTGACATTACTCCGGCAAAAAATAGCTAAAACAGTATCTTCATTTCAAAAGAGAACAGAAAAGAGACATTTATAAATTTGTAACCAGACATAATTCTGATTGTTTTGCTTTATGATTTTTGAAACATAGCTGAGCATGCTCTAAAAGCCAATGAACTTTCTAATGGTTAACAGTGCAATCAAAGACAAAACAGACAACAATCCTTACCGTCCACCTGCCAGTGTTTGATGGATGATAGAATGAATGCAAAGCTTTGAAAAGTTTGGTTAAATGCTCTTGCACAGTTCCATCTGGTCCACCCTGTAAGAAAAAAAAAAACCCAGCACATCAAAACAGCTGACATTTTTCAGATTTTCTCTTAATTCTTGACAATATTGAAATAAAAAGCAATCTGTCATCTATGACATCCCAGAAATTAAGATGGTTCCGTAAGAAATTTTACATAGAATAAATCTTTCATTAAAGCACAGAAAAGGTTGCTGCCATAAAAGTACAGTCAAATCTTCAAAATTCCACAAGGAAACAAAAGTTATTGAATAGGATAATTTCCATAACAGATGTCTCGTTCGTCTTGTAATGGACATTCCTGTCTCTAGTGCAAAGGTTGCCGTTTGCTGCTGGTCCTTCAGGGTCCAGTAAAGTTTTGAAGCTTCCGCCTAGGGTTGGGCCAACACTTCCTTCTTAGTCCTTCATGAATTGGGCTGGGTTGATGCATACTATATCCTGTTTGGCTGTGGGTTCTATATTGACACTACATAACTCATGTAAAAAGTAGCTTTTATACACCAGTGCCAAAACTTTTTTCTTTTAAATGTAGGTGTTCTTACACCCCCATAATGACAATTTAGATCATTTAGGAGGCGGCCCTCTGACTTTGCCTGCCAGGGCCAACCAGAGTTGAGAGGGACACAACATCCCAGCTAAAAGACTGAGATATTCTATAAACATTTCTTCCCCACTCGGGAATCGAACTCTGGTCTCCTGCATGCAACAGCCAAGCACGTAACCACTACATCAGAGACGTCAGCACCAAAACTTTGAACAGGATGGCATAAAGATAACTGTTGTTTTGGTGCTCCCAATTCAAGCAACCACAAAGCAGACCTACCATCATCCCAACAATCAGAGTAGACACACTTGCTGTCTCATATGCATTATGATGTCTGTTTGGGGTCATCTGCTTTGTGCCCACAGGAAGGCAAAAACTGCGCAGCAGTCGGGTGAAGACCTGTTTAAACAAAAAAATGTATGATGAACATTATAAGATCAGCACTAAAAGCGCATATGAAGAAACACTAGTCATCAAAAATTCTATCATCTCAATTTACATATCCTGCACATTTCTAAATTAAAGGCATAAGATAAGTGCTTCAGTACAGGCAAAATATATGAAATAAAACAAAAACTAATGAGAATAGATGACTGTAATGCCTGGAAAACAAGGCAAAAGTTCTTTTTAAAAAGTTTATACACATTCAATAACACGAATAATAATCCTAAAATGAAGGTTTTAAAGGTAAAAAAAAAAGAAACTAGCAGTTATAAGATCAATGATGAAATTATAAATCTATTGTCAATATGAATGCACTGATCAACAATACAAAGTAATGAGCCTAATCGGCCTTTAAAATCCTTGTTTTCAAAAGCAAAATGAAGTGAGACCGTTCCGCAGAATTGAAAGGTTGGCCTAAGACATAAGTTAGAGACAGCAAACATTGATTATTAAAACTAGATCTAAAAAAACAGTTCTATCAAGACTCACCATAGGAACATGCGGCTTCCAGTCAATGTAGCCCACATTGTCATGTGCTAGTCTTGAAAACAAATTAACAAGACTCTGAGAAAATAACAAAATTAATTCCAAACAGTGTTAACAACATTCAACTGGAAACTAAAACAAAGCAAGATCAAAAGTGATACATAGAGAAAAGAACACAAAATCATGACATTTTCATTTAAAAAATTAATGTCTTATTAAATAGGAGATAAAAAAGTAGCGATTCAGCTATTAATAACCAGTCAGCACAATAACTGTACCATTTCCCAAGAAACAGATTAGACCAAGAGCAAAACTGAGACGGAACAGCAGACCACACCAGAGCACCTTCGGGTATTTTGTAATTACTCCCCTATGAAAGAAATTTTCTGCAAGGAAAATTATGACCAAAAAAAAGATGAAGGGACTTTCATACACACATATAGACTCCAACGGATGTTCTCAATTACATTGAAATCTCATATCACATATAACTGTCTGACCACTAAAATATTTCTAGTAACCTCAAGAGTGCATGATTCGAGTAAATAATTTCCAAAGCAAAATGACCCAGTTCACTGAAAAAAATCTAGTAACTACTAATCCAACATGCTTTCTGCTTGTACCTTTTAAATGTTTTTCTGTGAAACAAAGCCGATAAAATTTCCATTTTGACCATTAAAATGGAAGCGATGGGGCTACAAAAGACAGGAAAACTGACCATACATCAATTTGACCTGACTATTGAGCACACTAGACACTCTATAGCAGAACCACATGGTATTGCTTTTGACTCACTTTTTTTTTTTGGAAAGTGTTTTATGGCGCTTGCAACTGCATACGGTCATATGAGCGCGTGGGACACATTAAACTTGTTCAGTTGGTGGAAAATGTTGAATTTTGCCCGGGTGGCGGCTGAAGCCTACTCTGATCGATTTTAGACCACCAAGAGATCTTTAACGTGCGCAACTTGCACACAGGCCCTCCAAAATTTTTCGCCCTTGTCCGAGAAGGCTAGGTGTAGAACTTTCCCACCAAAAGATCAGGAGACAGCAGTAAGGAGCCAAAGAGTAATAGTAGAAAGGCTGCAGAAAGAGTCAGGAGCCCGGAGGAGTGGGCAAAGGAGGTGAGGGGTGGGGGCAGAAAAAGGAGACGAAAGCAGACGACAGAACATTGCTAGAGAGCAGGAAAAGAGACAATTTTAGAGAAGAAAATTTTTCTGTCGCTACCTGGATTCAAACCCGGGACCTTAACCTCTAGGCCACGAGAGCCCCCCTGACTCACTTTTCATTAGGACACAAGTCTCATGCTTATATCTAACAGCCCTCATGCAATCCCTATTTTTCGAACAATAACCTGACATACATGTGTGAACACAACCTGACAGACCTTTATCCTTTCAATATGTATCTCATTTAGATCAACAACAGAATCTGTTACCCTATGTACTTGCCAACAAGACGGCTTCATTCATGTTACAGGGGGTATACTTTGACTCCAAACTCAGCCTAATTTTTGAAGGTCACATGTATAATACGAGGTGAATTTCTGACAGGCTGTAAGGGTCTCAACTTGCCTGAAATCCAGTACAAATCGAGGATCAAATATCGCGTCTTACATTTAACAACTAGTATTAGTTGCATTGAGATTGGATTAGTCTGTAAGACTGGATTGGCGGGTAATCCAAGCAAGACACCCAAATGCATCGTAATATCCAGATTTCTAATAAATCAGATGTATTCAGCATCACGCGCCCTTAGTTGAGCCTAATCCTGGCTGTATTTTGAGCGTATAATACACACAGTACGCTTTTAGATCTCATTTTGGGGGAAAAATCACTGTATGCAAATACAAACTGTATTTTAGGTATAACCTCACAAATACTGCTTTTTGAGAGAGTGAAAAAATGTCATTCACAACTACACAGCTGACACTTACCCCTTCCCAGGAGGGCATGCTATGGAAGGATTTCCACAGGTCCATAAATTCTTCAAACCACAACCTGATGATGTAAAAATATAATCTTATAAACAAAAAGAGGTAACTTATACTCTCATTCATGTCTTTATAAAGAATCAAATGTGAGGTTATCAGAAATGTCTAATAATTGTAAACCAACTACATCATCTAAGATCATTACCCATCTATTTTGTAAAAAGGTGACATCTTTTGTGACCAGAGAGGATTTCTATACTGCTTTATCCAACAAGTAGACTCGACTTTTTTTACATTGCAAGTTGTTAACCATAACTGTTATTTGTATTTTAAAGTATCTGTTTATTGTCATCATGTATTTTTATCTATTTAGAGTATGTTCCAGTAGTGTGTAGTTTTTTGTAAAGGTTTTTATCATTTCTCAATTGTGTAAGCGTATAACATACTTGAATTTTTTATTGTGATGCACAGATGAGTGTGGAACCATTGATGTGTTAGGGAAGAGTGAGAGTGTATATGGGTGTGCGCATGCGCAAGCATATGCGTGTGTGTGCATGTATGTGTGTCTGTGTATGTGTGTACGTGGGTGTGTCTGTGTATGTGTGTATTTAGTGAAACACCAAACCAACGTGCCAGGATCTGGACAATAAATATGTATCTCATCTGATCTTATTTAGCATCTAGTCAAAATAAACATTTGCTATATGAATAGGACTCCATAGCTCCTTAGGAGCCACAAGACGGAAACTTTCCATTTTGAATTAAGTTCATTTTCTTCATCTGCATAGTTTGAAGAACACTTGGTGCAAAGGGATGAAAAATAAAGAAACTATAGCTTCATAAAGTTATGATTTTTCAAGACCCTTGTTTTGAGAAAACGGACAACAAATTTAACGTAACATTTTTCTTAGCATAGAGAAATCATTGAAAAAAAAAAGTAGAAAGATAGCGAATTTCACCTGGAATTTTTATATTCTATACAGAAAAATGGCCAAATAACTTAATTTTACATGAAACACGATTTTGACCAAAATTACCCTTGGGACCTGTTTTGGCCACTAGAGTAAAGTCAGGTGTGCGTCCACCTTAAGGCCTTTAGAATTGGGCGCTTCACCAGACTTAGTTATCATCTCTGTATGCTTAATAGACTTCATTTTACATAGCATTTTAATGCGTCCACTTTGGTCTGGTGACGCATCCACTTTGCTGGTGAATGCGTCCGCTAAGTCTGGTCAGTGCCACCACCCCCTAATTCTTTATAATATTAGAAATAAATGATGTTTAAACATAGAATCTAGATCTATGTTCATCCAGTCTGTCATTCTTCATCCTATTATTATCCACTCACTCATTCTTCATTATGTAAGAAATAAAAATGAATAAAACCGATAGATCTATGTTAAGATATTTCATTTATTAACATTGACATTAGATAAAGTGACAAAAAACATTTACATGTAGGCTCTATTTATTAATTTACAACCAAATATATTTATACTATGAAGATTTATTTAAAATTTTAGTTTGAAAAGTTCAGTAATTTAAATGCAAGTAAATTTATACATTCAAAATACGTGGATGGATGGTAAGTACAAGGGGGTTATGAAATAGTGGGCATGCACTTATCGGGTTTTTGCCAGTAAGATCTTTAGTCAGCACATTTCACATAGTCATTGCCACTAAGGGCCATCTAGACATGAAAGACTTTTGTTTGGGTTTTTTTAATGTTCCAAAAACAAACAAAAAAATTAAGTAGACGATCTAAATCTAGATCTCTACATCTAATGGCATTAAAAAAACAAAAATTTTCAGAAAAATAAACTTTTGACAGGCAATAGATGTCTACAGGTGGCTGAGTGAATGACATTTATGCATTTGTACAGGATGTGAACTCATTCACCATACTGAATCTACTCAGTCGGTGAGTGCCACCGCCCATGGACGCATGACCAGACCATACTAAAACTTGGTATGGTGAGCTCGTCCACCCCCCTCATGGCTTAAATTTCCATTGTTGAATGGCACAATGGACAGTTATATTTTAAAACCTTTGTAAAGGCTAATAAAAGCAAGTAAGGGCCCTTGGAGTTCATTAGTTGCCAAGCAACCGACTAGCAAATAAGCGCCTCCACTAGTGCAACTCGCTAATGAAGAAGACACATTTTTAATTACCAGAAAATGGTGACTTACAGAGTGTAAAAAACGAAAGCAAAATGCGAAATGAAACGGAAACTGCTTATACTTTTTAATTACACGATCGGAATCGATCCAACACCGATGAATAACGAAATACAGCGAGTGGACGCATAGACCAGGTGGACGCGACACCCTACTTTACTCTAGTACACAATGGGAATTCCCATCTTGTGGTTCCTTTGAAGCTGAGGCAATACAAATGCAGCTTATTATCATTTTCATTGTTTATATTCGTAAAAATAAAAAAACACCACGACGTTTCAGTATGTCACATCTAGTACATTACTCTCAGGTAAAGATTAGACTAGAGTAATACGTAGTGTGCCGATTAAGGAAATATCACAAATTTTAGACACATACAACTTCAGTTTGATTACTTCAACAAATCTGAATAGCTAAGGCCATAATCTTAGCAAGTTGAAGATAACTAATATCCAGCAGAATGTAGAAAACAAGAAACTGTTTTCAGACAATCTGGCATCAGGCCAAGGGGGCTCAAACTCAGACAGCTGCTACATCAGAGGAATGAAATGAAATGACAACCCGGCGTAAGGCACAAAAAGAAACAGTTACACCTACTTGAATCCTTTGTGATGGAGCTCAGGAGGCAGGCATGTTGGGAGAAACATCTCTAAGCACTGCAGACCCCCTATGACCAGCATATCAAAGGGGCACAGCAGGGGACGCCATTCATCCAGCATCTCCTGGGTGGCATCTTCATGAAAAAATCTATTGGAGAGAAAAGAACCAAAGGTACTTGTATTTTTACATCGTGGTCAGATCGTAGTGAACACCAAATACAGTACTCTCTACCTAGGATCCCACCACTCACGCCCCCTGTTCGCTTAAGATTTAAGATCCCGCTATTTTAAGTAAACAGAATTTTTACTACACAAAAGTGACCCCTAAGATCTCGTTCTGAAGGTCTACATTTGGCAAGGATCCCGCAATTTAGATCATAATTTGCTGAACAAAAACCAGGGCGGGCACAGCAGATGATCAACAAAGAGTGAAAATCTACAATCATTGAACTGCCCGTTCCGTCACAGATCAGCCATTCTCGTGAATGAGATCACGTCTCCGAATATCGATGAAACGGTAAAATGGGATCACACTCAGGTGTGAACTCGCAGACGTGTTTGTTTTCCATCAAGTCAATACTGACTTGTTAAAATTAAGAAATCTGAAACTGCCTCCCCCCCTTTTTTTTTCTCAGTCCCTGTGCATCCCTTCTCGTCCCTTTGTGAATATTAGGGGCACTCCTCAGTTTATAAGGGAGCTTGTTTCATACATGGAGACCAAAGAAGGAAAAGAAACGCTCACCATATGTTTTTTTATTTTGTTTTGGGGCTCTAAGACTCAGTTTGTCTGTGGCGGATCTAAGGGCTCTGAGTGGATGATATAATTCCAGGAATTGTTTTAGATATTAGTGCAGTATCATTTTGACACTGAAAACCGAAAAATGACAGTTTAATATTAGATCCTTTCTTTTATCGGCAGCCAATGTAGTGCTTTCAGAAGTGGTGTTACATCCGCTGATTTCTTCCAAGTCTGATTAACATCTGGTGAGTGCAAAAAAGCATCAGGCTACAGCCCCTACAGCAGTTTTCTCTACGTAGGAGAGAATCAAAATCATTTTACGCCAACCCATTGAGTCACTAAGAGGAACAGTGTATTTGTAACTGCAACAGTTACTCTTATAATATAATATAATATAATATAATATAATATAATATAATATAATATAATATAATACAATATAATGTAATATAACATATATATTTGTGAACGCTCGTGAACGCTCGTCCCTTTGGTCGCCTAAAACTTTCAAGCCACTTAACTTTCGAATTTGAAAAAATTAACGGTGGTTCAGAATCATTTAAAGGGTGCACAGTTGTATTAAGAGTGGAAGTAAGTGTAGTTTAATTTTCAGTTTTTCATTATTTTCGTTTAGATCTAATCTTGGGAAAGTCTGTCTTCTTAGGCGCCATTGTGAACAAGTCAGACTTCCGTTCACATGGAGTGCACACTGAACCCACAATGACTTGACGATGGATTCTTTTGAGTATGTTCATCAAACGGGGTACCCAGCTAGTATAATATAATATAATACAATATAATAGGCTACAATATAAGATAATATAATATATAATAATATATGATGTGATACAATATAATATGACATGATAAAATATATGATATAACATTATATAATATTTCACAACATAACATACTATTATATAACATCATATAATATTAATCAAGCCATTTGAACAACATCAAAGAAATGTAACACACTTTATAACAAAAATACTTACTGTGAGCATGCCCTGATTGCGTTCTTGACATTCGTTTCGAACTTTCTGAAACGTTTAAATAGGAAACGAAAACTTTTTTGAAATGGCAAAAATTGTTGCATAAAAACCATACGTCCTATCCTATTCCATATGTATGAGCAATTCTCAAAACGTCAACTGAAGATTTGCATCAAAATAATTTTGAAACTATATACTTGTAGGCCTTTCAGAAATGTATGCAATCCATTGTGGGTGGGGTTTTTTTTCTACTTTACAAAACGAGAAGACAAATACAACACCTGCGCAGGAAAGTTGATCACTTTTTATACAGCTCCAATTATCATCTACCGGGGGAGTCATGCTCATTATCGACAACATATCACTAACATGAATGAGTTCACCTGATTCTTTTTTTTTTTTAGCAAACAAGCAGCTTATAAAATATGGTTACTTTCTAACACTGTCAGGTTTTCGTTCTTGTGATCAACATGAGGAGGTCCTTAATAACCATTCAAAAGAACATTGTGCCAAGCCAAACAGTGTGACGTGAGTAAACCACACATTTTTCACTCCCTCCCTCACTCGGAAAGTTGTAGACTGGACAATTTCCAATTAGATAGAATGTATTTTGTTTATTTCTTTGTCGAAAGATCTTGACTACATACAAATTTTTAGCGGGGCGGTCTAACACAGATATATTTTTTTTATGTACACCAGTTGCACTCTTTTGAGAAAGGATCATATTCATTTCTAAAATACACAGTCTTCTTCTGGGTTTTTTTTTTAGACGAGGTAACAAGCTACATAAGATCTGAATCCTGGTCCTAGGAACAAAAGTTAATTGTAATCATCAAGAGTATAAATACACCCAAGAATGTTCCCTTACACTCTTTATCTCTTGACCAGATTTGTAAGTATAGTTCATTGAATGTGCAGGCTATGGTAACAGAAATGACCACATACACTTCATGTAGATGTTCAATGGCTAGACTGCATGCAGGTATTTGTTAATCTGGCTTGTTTTAAAAGTGATAAAAATTTGAAGTTCATAGTAAAGAGACAATCAGGGTAGTTTATGATCCATTACTCAAATAAACTGTGGAATGGTATCGCATTATTAACAAAATGTCTGAATACTACCTTTACCATACTAAATGATGTACAGCAGAATGTTTTATAAGCAATAACGCTAGCCTTTGTGGCACAATTTGAAGAAATCAGTCAATCCGGTAATGTAAAGGAAATAAACTTTTAAGCATCGCAACAACAACTTCAATAAAAACAATGAATAAATTTCCCATTAACAAAAAACCTCCTAGCATAGAATAAGTCGAAAGTAAGTTACACCAAATAAAAAGCATGTCCACATACACAGAATACTCCAACTTCAGATTAATACCACTACTTACGGAGGAAACACGTTACATCCAGCTCCCTCCTTGCTCCAGTCCTCCACAATTTTATACAAGGGCCTCCAAGGGAGTATCAAGTCGGCACGTGTCAACAAGCTTCGTTTCCTTTCGTGAGTCAAAAAATTGTTAAAAGTCAAGCAATTTACAACATCAAAATCATAAACTGCCAAATGGCAATTTCAAAAATAATGATTCCGTTTAACAGAAGTAAACAAAAATTGCACTTGGTGACATAATTATCATGAAAAGGGCTATGATGAGTGAAGAAGGGAAGCAGGAAAACATTTTGAAGAGACGAGCTGAAACAATGCTTCCAGTGCAGAAGGTGATAATAGTTAAACATATAATTGCATCAAATGAGTATCTCTAATAACAGTGAGACTAGAAATATGCACAGAGAGACCAGTAGAGGGGAATCTGTGAATCCTTCAAACCACGATAAACAGTTTTCCAAATATGCTTTCCTCCACTCTCAGAGACCTCACATCAGTAATTACTACTATTTGAAAGTAAACTATAAATATTAAAACCTGCAAAATCAAGGCAGCATGAAGCTTCCATTCTCACACAAAAGAATAAAAGCCTCAAAATAACTCACACATAAGACTAAAATAAGACTATATTAATATATGCTGAGTCACCTCAAAATTAATTTAACTTCAAAAAAGAGACAGCTTTAAAGAACCATGGAAGTATATTTTTACAGTATTTTTTCACAAAATAATACTTTTTAAATACTCTGCTTACTTACTTCAATAAGAGGCTCAAAATGAGAGCAAACTTTTCTGTCAAAGCATACTCCTTGGAAGGCATCGTCACCAAGTCAAACAGGAGTTTGACGAGGAGGACATGATCAGTCTTGGAAAACTTGTATCCATACACATAAATATACCTGTAAATAAATAAATTATATTCACAACAGATTTTTTAAAACTTTTTTCAGGCCAGAACAAAAACAAATTTAAATGCCCAACCAGAAATCTTTTCCATATAATTCGAAGTTCAAGCCCTGCCACAAAATCAGAAGGACATTAATTTTAATAAATCTAAAAGAAATTTTTTTTTAATGTTTCCATTTTCTGCATATTTACGTGGGTTCTTGGGAGGACAGGGAGCAAGGAATATATAAAAATTAGAGATTTTCAAGTCCACCCCCATAAAAAAATTTGTAAATAGTGGTGTCCACTAAAATCCAAATTTGCAGCATCACCTGACTTTCAACGATCAAACCGTGTTTTTAGTTCAAAGAAGCTGCTCAAATAGAAGGAAAAAAGCGAATTAGTTTATAATCGCTGTGTTCGAAAGACAGGGAGTAAAAATTCTTTTTATTCTGCATAACTCTTGTTTGCCTTCTCCATGGGCTTTCTTTTCAGACACACAGCCTTTTCAAACTTCAGAAAAACTTTTGATAAAAAAGCCTTTATTACCATAGGCTTATTTATCTTTGTCTTGAGAGCTTATGAGAACCTTACGCCAATAGGAAAGAGACTCCCTTCAAGTGCAGAGGCTGAAGTCGATTTTTAGCAGAAATACAAGAACTTGTCAACAACGTTCTAAGCAGAAATAGGTCATTATCCTTACTTCAAACCATTTTTTACCTATATTTATAAAAGTGGTGGGGGAGTTTTCTTCTTAAATATGATTCTAAAATCTCACCTCAAGGGATTAGCGAGGGTTTACTGGGACATAGTGATCTTCATATTCTAACTTTGAAAATTCATGCATTTGACATAAAACCTTTGGAACTCCTGTCACTGGGGGTTGGGACAGCAAAAAAAAAGAAGCACAGCAGTTGAGAACAAATAATTTGCCAATTTGGTGAAAATTTTGTCCAATATGTGATGCCTGTGGCAAGATTTTACACATATCCTAGCATGGGAATTTTTTTATATTCCTGTTCAATACAGCTTTCAAGTAGATTCAACGACAATCTATTTATCCTGAGCATATTACTCAATTTCCACAGACTTCTGATAATATACATGATAAATGACTTATTTAATGACAATAAAATATTATAAATTGTGCAAACAGTGCTTAGGCTACAGGATTCGTAATCGTGAGGTTGCGGGTTCGGGGTTGCAAGCCGCGGGTCCGATGTTGTGTCCTTAGGAAAGGCACTTTACACAGATTTTCCTCATTTCACCCAGGAGGGATGAGTAGCATACCCGGCCATAGACAGCGAAAGATCTTGTCAGTATGATAGTGTTTAAGCGCCTATAAATGGCTGCTTGCACTGTATGCTTCTGAGAAGTTGAAGTTTCAGAATGCTCTCAGGTCTGCTGGGGTAATAATAAAGATTGTGAAGCGCATAGAGCTTGCTATTCAGTGGGGATTTGCGCTATACAAATGCTATCTATTATCCTTATTATTATTTCTATCATTATCATCTTATTCAGTATCAAATTAATGTCACAGAGGCGAAAATATAGTTATATAAAATAAGCAGATCTCTAAGGTCTTCCCTTTAAGTCTTTCTATTTTTCTTGAAGATGTCATCATGTTCTTGTTTTTTACTGGGTTCTCCCTATCCGCCAGTATGGGTGAAGCAGGTGACAAGCACACACCGGACGACAGCCAATAACAATGGGTGCTGGCATCAGCTATGACAAATTATTTCCCTTCGGTAGTATCACACCCACAAGAACTGTAAATTAGGGCTGGGCAAGTACCAGTTCCATGTACTACCGGAGGCGGCGTCAGTACCAGCACCAGGGCCTCAGTAGTGCCAGAACAAGGAAGGTGCCAGCACCAAGTGATTAGCACAGCGGAAGATGTGCCCTTAGAACTAAAGCACTAGTTACTATGCAGTGTGTAGAAGCTGTGAAACTAAAGATGCACAGCACAAAGCACTGGATGACCTCGATAACATGACATCAAGTTCAAAATCGAAAACCAATTCAAAAATAAAATTATGTACGTCATACCGCATCAAATCAAGCTCATCGAGAACAACTCTGCTCATTTTGATGCGCTGAGATAGTTACACAAGTAATTTGCTGGCAAAGTTTAATCCCCTATGGTGGCTAATTTCAACTTTAAAGGGATTCTGTGGTCCTCTGATGGAAAAGAGATGTAGCAGGCGAGACTCTAAGACATGCAAAGATTCTGGTGTCATTTATTCACAGTCCCAGTATTGGTACTGAGGGATCTCGAAACCCAGTGCAGGTTGTTGTTATTGTTTTCAAATCCCTTTAGCTGCGAGCATTTCGCTCTACCCAGTGCAGGTAAAGTACTGGAACTGAATTACACTGGTACCGTCCAGCACTAGGCTATCCTAAATGTTATTGTTGAGATTTCTAAATATTTACATTTTGCTCACATAAAAATTCTGTTCCCATTAGTTCGGACAAGGGGCTATTCTCTGAAGGCGAAGTCTAACCAGATGCTCCTAGGGTCCTTGCTCTATCTATATAACTCCATAGTAGTATATTATAATTATAGGCTCTCTAGAACCCTTACCTAGCTAGGCTACAAGGTAGAGTTGGAACGAACGGATAGATGGGTTCACTACTCACGGACGCAGTCAGAGAGTGAATAACAGGCGGCCATGCAATTAGAATGCGAACCTCAAGTCTGTTCGTTTTTTGGGCCCATTCCACAATTTTATTCACTCAGCTGGAGACAAGCTCTAGCAGACAAATACTCAACTCCAGTTTAGACCCATCGTCTATTGTTTATTAGAGGCCTAATGTTTCAAGCCACTAGCAGGGCCACAGGGAGCGGGAGAGGCTGTTGACGAAACACTGTGTGTGTAAAACCTTGAACACCTCATTTATGATTTGTGGGTCACACTGTGTACGTTTTAATACATTGCAACTTTAGGGGAAGTTTAAAGAATTAACAAAGGCCTGGGGGGGGGGGGGGGGGGGGGGGAAAATTTCGGCAAGGACACCCCCTCCCCCCCCCCGGAAAAAAAACTTTTTAGGTTCCTTCCTTCAATGGCGGTGGGGTGGTAAGGGGGGGGGGGGTTTTTTTTTTTTTGAAAGGGGGGGGGGGGGGGGGGGTAGTGGATGGCGGGATGAGAGCATGGGGGAGGGGGTAATAGTAGTCTTAATAGTTAACCCTAGAAGCCATCAGCGTTTCACCGGAAGTAACCCGCCAAAAATGCCCACCATCACGGCCGATCGATTGTAAACATGGGGGTTTGGCGGGGGGATCAGCTGAGATACCAAAGATGTATACCTGCCACTGAAAAATGACCATTTACGGCTCAACAGATGATGAAAAGCATATATAACCATTTACGGCTCAACAGATGATAAAAAGCATATATAATAAAACCATTCTTTTCTTAAAGCTGATAGAATGAGCCATTCAAAAATGATAAGCGATCAAATAAATACAAACAAAGCGCATAACGCGATGAACTCAACAATTAGTACATTATCACAACGAAACAAGTGATAACACATAGCGTGTAGTTGCTCAGCTTGACCGCTTCACTTTATCGATCGATATCTTGGCCAAGAGACGCTCTACGAGGTCAAGATAACTTGCAAAGTCATAGGTCACTATTTATAACTTTGACCTGTAATTTACGTCATTTTCCATATAAGGAATACTGAAATTTTCCATTGAAAGAGGTCAGCGTCTATGCACTATAAATATAGGGCCTGCGCGCTTTCAGGTCGAAGTAGGTCAGCCCTATATATAGAGGGTAGCCCGGCTGGCAGGATTGTACTTTACCAGATCACCCGTCTGGGCCCATGATTAGCACGCCTAGCCAAACTACAAACTCAGTACTCTATGTGCGGACAAAAGGTAGTTCCACGGGCGACTTTGCGTAGAGCGCAAGCCAGCGGCAAGACGAGGTGAGCCAGAGGTGGTGATTGAGGATGAGTAGGCGATTTAACTTTGGTGGACCCACTGTGTATCAGACCAACAGTGGGGGGTTCAGGGGGGCTTGTCCCCCTGGAAAAAATAATAAAGAAAACACACATACACAAATGCAAAACAAAAACATAAGCGGACAATCGAGTTTACATATATATATCAATATAACAACAGTGGGGGGTTCCCCTGGCAACAATAATTTAAAAACACACACACACACATACGTATACAAAACAATAACATGAACGGACCATGGAGCTAATCTCAACTTGGACAATCGGGGTAATTAGAGAGTTGGAACAGGCCGAGCCTTGCTTCGCATGGCAGATCTCGCCAAGTCGCGAGCACGACCGAGGGGGTTGCAATTATGCAAAAGAGCTCGCGAGCACATTTCTCGCCCTCCATTGTACTTTGCCGGACCAGGAGTAGGCCTCGTCGGCCTAGGCTAGCCTTTCAGAGTCGCGAGCAAAAAAATAATGGACCACGCCATTAGATTGACCAATTAGCCTCAAGGTGTCAGGGTCGTGATGACTGACAAACCCGGTAAGAGACGTCAGTCGGTTGTTGGCAGTCGAAGGGTGAGATCGTAGGAAAGCGAGTAGGAGAGTGAGTGGGGGAGCTCGGAAAGGAAGAACAGCGGACCACTAGGCACCAGGAGCGCGCCATAGTGAAAGTGTTCCGACCGGCGGTTACCGGTGGTCCGGTAAAGTACAATCTTACCGCCCGGCTCATACCCTTTATACAGGGCCTGCGCGCTTCCAGGGTTAATAGTAGTGTATGCCCTCCGTCTGTCCATTCGCCCATTTGAATGCATGGAGTCTGTCTCAGCCGTCTGCCAGTCCGCTTGCTCGCTAAATGAACTGACTGCTGTCTCTGCATCTATTGTACACCAAACGAATCTTCACTTATGTGGACAGTTCTTTCGTTTGTGAGTGTACAACCAGCAGACCATTCATTACTCGCAGACGCTGATTTACCAACTCTAATCTAGCTCTAGAGTCTAGAATCTAGATTTCATCTAGAATCTAGATTCTAGATCTAGATCATCTAGATCTAGACCTAGATCTAGATCTAGATCTCTATATTCTAGATCTAGATCTAGAATCTAGATATAGAAATCTAGATCTAGATCTAAATCTAGAATCTAGATCTAGAATCTAGATTCTAGAGATCTGCAGCTGGGAAAAACCTTCAAACTTTTTGCAAATTTTAGAAGGGGCAGACCTAGCCTAGATCTAGATCTAGTAAGTAAGGAATATATTGTGTAGAATTTAGGCAACACTAAAGAGATAAAGCAAACTTACCTCTCTAATTGTACTACCCAATGCCGTGCACCCGTCTTCAGGTCTCGGAGTTGTACGGACCTTGCAAGATTTCCTTTGATTTCGGCAAGCACTCCATTCGACTCACGATCAATGTCTTCAGCGTAAGGCAAAAGAACGCTGTAACTTGTCTCCTTTTGAGGGGAGTACCCAAGGGACTCCGAACGGTCCCCCATCTCGCTCTGCTGAATATTTCAAATTCACTGTCTTTACTCGGGGAAAATCTGTCGTAATAAGTATGATGTTACGGAAGGTTGAATGACTTGTAGGTAACAATCGCTGCCATCTTGTTTGTCATTTCTACATAGATCTACAACGGGGTCTGTGATTGGCCAATTCCTTATCAATCAGCCAACCAAAGAAGACAATACAATGTAAAACTAAGGGGAGGGTACTCTATCTTTATATATATTCTGCTAACATCATTTTATTCGGTTTTCCGTGATCGAGGCCCTGACCTAGGCCCAAATCCCTTATCTAGGCTACATAATATTCAACCTTCTGATTCTTCTTTCTATTTTTATTTTTGCGTTCGTCTTTTGACCCGGAGCTTTTCGTTTTTATTTTAGGCTAGGCCTATGAGGCTACTAGATTATATCTTGCTACAAGACACAGAGTACTGTTACAGTAGGCCAACAAATTGTTGCTCTTCATGTACCGGTATAAATATTCCAACTCGAAACGAAATTTATGATCGAAGTGGAACCACTTTTTTTTTACAAATGCATAATTCACCAATAATAATTTAATTGTTCTAGTCTGACACATAAGCCTAGTGGCCTAGTCATCATCACTTCTGAATCTGAGTATCGCCTATAGCCAATTATATTTATCTCGCTATAATTGATTAGCGGAAGGAAAAATGATGGGTAGGCCTACACCTTTAAAATTACTGAACTCTTCGACTTAGCCTAGAGTATAAAAAATCCAGAATGTCCCAAAGCGCTCTCTCTCTTTCTCTCTCTCTCTCTCTCTCTCTCTCTCTCT